CGAAATAAAGTTTCCAAATATGACGACAAAATAAAATAAAATAAAATTCCAAATATATGGTGTTGGTGTAGCAAACATTTCAAATAAAAATATTGCTTGCAAGATTGGTATATAGTAAAACCAATTTAAAGAACCATTTGTTTAACTATATTTATACTTTTTGAGTGTTATATACTACACTTGAGGATTTATGAAGACATATTAGCGACGTCGAATTAAATACTTTTTTAGTGAATTTGTGAATAACAATGGTAACAGATTATTGTGATGGAAACATGATGTTGTAGCTTGTAACCATTAACAAACAAACAAAAACAAGATGGTGTAGCTCTACCTTACGTATTTATAATAACCAATATATATATATATACTTTTTGTTGGTTTATGTAAATTTTCTCTTTACGAAACCTAATAAATTAAATATCTCTTTGCTCGGTGTTGTTAGGATCGATGGTCCGAGTGTCGGTTTTGGTCTGCTAGTTGTCAATGTATTTTTCTTTATTGGAGTTGTTTTACGTTTACAAGTTTCCTTTAATCAAAAAAATAGATAAATAATTGATCGTCGTTGATTGACGATATTGATAGTTGATTGAAGATGTCTTACTCACTCAAAGATCAGACATCCAATATTGTAAAATATTTGTTTAATTTTATTTCCTTTTCGAAACTAAAATTGCTAACAACCAGTTATTTTTCTTCTATCTAACAGTCTATTAAATTATAACGAAAATAGTAAGTTGATAGTTATTCATTAATGAAAGTCACAACATAGAGTACATGATACAATAGTGTAATGTAAATTCAGAATATTAACATATGGAAACTTGAACACACTAACGTACATGCATAGTCAATTATTGGAGTGAAGATTTTTTATTTTATAAGAACATTAAAGAAAACACCGTCCATATATTATTTTATTTATCACACACCGTCCAAGATTGCAACTGTTACATTTTTGGTCCAAGAAAAATCATTGATCCTCTTGTGGGAAAGAGAGAGTGGTGCAGAAAAAAAGGCACGTGGAACATGACCTAATTCGGCAAAATACAGTTTTTAATTTGTTGAAAACTAACAGCTGTTTTCCAGTAAGTCCACGTGTACATGTCTTACTCCTCCACGTGTACTTTTCAATGACGTGTCATGTTCATTATTGTTAACAAACGCAAAACTACTCTTGTTTTGTTCTTCCTGTCGTGTAAGATGCAACTGTAATTGCGATTGGTCTACGTGGTTAGATGTTCTTCCACTTGATCGTATTGTAACATTTTTTACTTGATATTTTTTACGGTTTTACACGAGTTTTAACGGATTTTATAGTTAAAACGACTACTATAGTGGTTGATTTTGACCTCCAAAAAAAAAAAAATATATATATATAGCAACTCATATCTAACATTTTATGGATATATATGCTCGATCAGATTGTTCATTTTGATATATACTATATATTAATATTAATTTTGGATGATATCCAAATCCAACATAAATTTGTTTCTACTAAAATTTTACTTCTTTTTTTATCGAATCATAAATCTTTAATTCATTATCTACATTCGATGATCTCTATTTTTTATTTTATCATTGAATTATAAAAAATTAAAAGGTGCATGTGGTTAGTTGCATAGAATAGAAAGATGCTGTTGCAAAAATATTCTTCCGTTCGCTCTTATCTTAAGCCGTATGCACATTTTGTACCTTCATCTTCCACACGTGTGCATCTCTATATGATTATCCACACGTACACATCTTGCATTAATAGTCAAGGTCGTCGCTAAAACGACGGCGTTTGGTGACCTTCGTGTGTAAGATAAATATCGTTGGTCTTATAAATTCTATTGTATATGCTTCAGCCACACACAAACATGAGGCACACACATGATAATATCTTCAAAAGCGATTCTTTGTTGGACGAAAAAAAATTAAAAAGAGTGACTCTTCTCTTTTTCTTTTATGCTTCGAATCAAAATGTTTTGTTTCAGTACCTACCGAAGTACCAAATACCATTTTATTTTATAATGTAAAAAACTTACTCAATTTGTTCCATTATTTACAATCCAAACTCCTATGGTAAGTAAAACTTATGTTGATCTGTTTTTTTTTTCCTAATCATTTTCGTAAGCATACGATGATATACAATTTTGATCATATTCATGAATTCAAAGTAGATTACTTAGACATGTTATAATAGTTGAATAATGTAATGCATGGAATCACGTTTTACGAGCAAGCATCATAGGAGTCATGAACAGGCAAAAGCGAGGCCAATATACATAAAGTTAGAAACAAAATGACAGATTACATCAAAGCGTGAAACTTTTTCCCCACATTGGGCGCCGGCTTTTTTTGACTTCATATTAATATTTTTTTCTCAAAATAATAGTATATGTTTTTTTATGTTTTTTTTTTGTCAAAATGTTTTTTTTATGTTTATCTAATTTAAATAAGAGAAAAACCTTTACTCAATTTTTTTTATTAAAGGTAATATCTCTACACTGTTTTTGGGTCAATATTATATGATAAAACATTGTTCTCTTTTGGTACATTGTGCTTTGTCATTGCCATTCAGAAAACAATAGTTCTCTTGTGGAGAAAACATCGACCACATCATAAACTTTTGTTTAGCAAGCACAACGACAAATGGATCGAGAATCACACGTTAGAAATATTTTTTCAAACCATAAGAAAATGAGCTTGCAATCATAGCTAAACTACGTACTTTTTACTCGTCTCTAGAATACGAAAAGATATTAATACAAATCATTAGTTTATAAATTGTATGTATAACTGATCTGTTAGAATACGTTTGGCAAACTGTTTATCAAAAAGCACCTGTGTTTAGTACCGGAATGTGATAATGAATATAAACAGAATGAAATTTGTAAATATTATAATTAAAAGTTTCGGCGGATCTACATCTAACTGAAAGTTGACAACAAAACAGTCTCTATTATTGTTCGTAAACATAAACAAATATAAATTTAAATAACCATTAAGAGTGTAATGTATGGTTGAAAAAAGGCCGAAGAAAAGCCGCCCCCCATAAATGGGCTTTTGTCGTCAAAGTGGTGGAGCCCAAATTTGGAATGGCCTGTGTGATAATGATTAGGTTAGTTGTCCTTTTCATCTTCTTAAAACCCCCAAATCAATCACATTTTAAATAATTATCTTAGAAATATAACAAACTAATATTATAATACAAAATGTATATTGAAAGTTTGAAACTATCACTCTTGTTATAAGAAAAACTAGCAGTTGTTAAAAGAAAACTAGCAGTAAGTAGTACTATGAATTTCACAAATCGTCACAAACATTAGTTTTGGTATACACAATATTTTTTTTTTTATCACGAACACACTTTATTATGGCAAACTAGCCAAATATATCAGTATATGGGAACCAGTAAGAGACTGAAGTGCCAATATAAAAAAACAATAAATTTATCCGTCAGACGTGCCGGACCAGCAGATCTGACCTAGCATTATTCTTTCTTGGACAATACGGTATACACAACATTATGTCATAATATTATTAACTTATATATATAATTTACATAAAGTTCAAAAAGCACTTGGACCAAATAAATCAGCTCACTTGATAATTTTTATATTCATAAAATGTCTTTGAAAAACAAATACAAGAGTGTAGCGAGAACCTGATAAATGGGCTTTATAACAATCAGCCCAACAAATAATTAACCCCAATTTATAGTAATCTCCGAAACGTGTGGACTCAGCGAGTCATCTCGCTAATGGCGGTGATCTCATCGTTATTATTCCCTCCGTCGTCATTTCTCCGACGATCAATCACGATCTGCTCCAACAACACATCGGAATCAATGGCGACGAAGAAGTACATAAGCGATGGACAAACATCGAAGCGTGTCGTTGTCTGCGGCGGAGGCGTAACCGGCGTCTGCACGGCGTATTTCCTCGCCAAGAAAGGAATCGCCGTTACCCTCGTCGAGAAATCAGCCGTCGCGTGCGTCGCTTCCGGTAAAGCCGGTGCGATGGAAGCCCAGTTTCTCCTTTAGCTCGCGCGAGCTTTAACCTCCATAGATCTCTCGCTGAGGAGCTAAACGGTGTCGAGTCGTACGGATACAGACCAGTCACAACTCTTAGCCTCACCGTGAAGGAATCGTCGAAACCCATCTCCGGTGGTTCTGATTTACCGGCGTGGATCGACGGTCCGGTTAAAAGCCCATCGACGATTGGTACGACTGAAACCACAGCACAAGTGCATCCTCAGTTATTCACTCGGAAACTGTTATCGACGGCGACGAAGAAATACGGTGTTGAGGTTGTGATCGGAAAATTGGAAGAGGTGAGAGTGGAATTAGGGCGAGTTGACTCGGTTTTGCTTGAAGGTGGGCGAGTTATTGATACTGACGCGGTGGTTCTTGCGATGGGTCCATGGTCGGGTATATTTGAGATGTTGTCTTCGATTTTTAGGGTTTATGGTACTAAAGCTCATAGCATTGTACTGGAACCTAAAGAAGCAAATGCTATAACTCCTCATGCTCTGTTCTTAACTTATCATCCTTCTAATGGTGGTCAAGCTTTGGATCCTGAAGTTTATCTGCTGATCCAGATCAGGTACCAAGCAATCCTGAATCGATTGAGGTTCTCAAGAGACGAAGAAAACGCTCGAGTGAAAGCAGAGCAAGCGTGAGTACGGAAGATAGAATCCCTGTGATTGGAGAGATTCCAGGAATCAAAAGTTGTTTATGTAGCCACTGGGCATAGTTGCTGGGGATTTCTCAATACAGAGATTCCGTTAATGCGTGATTCTGTTTTGTAGCTGTTAAGCTTTTCAAATCGGTTTTAGCTAAACCCACACTTGTGTAAGCAAACCATATATCTACCAATTCAGCTCAATAGTTCCAAAACCACTTCTAAAACGAAATTTACTTTCTCCATTTAACCTCTTTAGGTGGTTTATTTAAGACCAAATGCTTTGGTCAACTTTATTTCTTTTTCAAATTTTGATATAGTTTTAGTCAATACATAATATCAATTATTAAATACCACAATTTCCACCTGGTCCTCCAAAAGCGCAGGATACTCCAGTTGACTTCATATAATCCCCAATATGATAAATCTATAACATTGGTAAGAATCCGAATAACGTCTTATTCTTCCATCTTCAATATCAACTAATTGATATTTTGAATTCTTACCTTTGACTTGCTTATGATATCCACTTTTATGAAAATCGAGAGACGGAAAATGTCCATTTCCCATTGGTGGACTAATTCCATTCAGAGAAGAAAATGTATTTCCTCCAAAAACGTATCAAAGAGGCTCTTTTATTTAAGCGTGTAAATAATTTTTTGGGCCAATAACCAATTACTTTGTCATATATTTTCCAATGCCCAATTTCCGCTGAAGCCATCCTATAAATATTCAAATACAAAAACAAAACATTAAGAAAAATCACTAAAAACTATGAGCATTTATATAATCAAATAAGAAATACTGACAAAACTACTTTAAAAACTAAAAAATTATATCGCAAGCTTAAAAAAAAAGGTTGAAGGTATTCATTATATATAAGGTTGCAAATATTTTACCTGAAAAACTTGTAGTGTGAAAAAGATGATTCTTTACCTTAAATAGAAGATCTAGTAAACGTTGTTCCAATCGTGGGATCTCGACTAACAAGAACAAAGCCAGGACATTGTGTATTATAACATCCAGTTCTTTTATAACCATCAGCCTTATACATACAAAGAAAGAAAAGTATTATATGTAAGGAGAAAGAGTAATAAACGAAACTTTTGTTAATTTATCATGTAAAAGTTTTGTTAAACAAATTTAATACACTCACAGTCCAATATATTGTGAATCGCGTCACACTGTCACCGTACAATCTTGGATGTATCTATATAAACTCATAGAACACATAATAAGACAAGTAGTAAAGATTTGAAAATATAAGTGTTGTTTTTCTTTTCTTTTGCTAAAGAGAATAATATATTTTGTTGAAATATAAGTGTTAATATGCTTTTTTGATAAACAAAAGTTTTAACATGCTTGTAATATGGATCATTATTCTATGGTTTCAAATAAAACTTTCACTAAATATGTAAGCG